TGCTCCGCCCAGGACTACAACTCCCGAGGCCCCGCGCCCAGTCCCGGTGGAAAGTGGGTGGCGCCCCAGCTTCGGGGAACCTGGGCGTGAGGATCGTGGCGTGGGACTCAGCGGCCCCTCTGTCTCCGAGATGCGGGAAGGCTAGTCCTGTTGCCCGGGTTCCTGCGGTGGAAGTTTCGGGAGGCGGGAAGCTGGGGGCTGCACCACCTTCCAGCTGCACTTGTGATCGTCCCGGTGCACGTGGCTGAGGAAGCCTGCTCCGCCGCAGGGCACATTCCGCTGCTGGTGAGAGTTCGGGTTATCTCTGCAGCTGGCGCCGGGCGCCTGCTCTGTCCAAGGAGGCGGTCTGCAGAGAAGCCTTAGCTCTGCCTTACAGTCAAGCGCCCTGGATTTGGCTTCTGCTTTCCTCGACTCCGCAAACTCTGGAGGATGCTATTCGCATCCGATGCGTTTTCAAGGGAACAAGCACACAGAATACTACTGTCCAGAAGTCAGTGTCTAAAACATGTTACCTAACTGCTCAACACTTAACTAGTGGATTATCCAGTCTAAGTAGACGCACATGGCCAGGTGTTGGCAGGTAACAGGAAGGTGGGCGACCCAGAGCAATTTGGGAAAAGGAAGCAGAATTCTGTGGGAATAAATTACCCTTCAGCTTCATCAAAACGTCCAGGCCAAGAGTGCCCTCTTGGCTCCTTTCCTAATTAAACAGGCAGAATACTTCCTTGCACATACCAGAAGGGTGCCTGGCGCTCTAAAAGGAAGCCCAGCATCTGCTGAGGGCCCTTGTGAGACAACACCGGGGCCAACAGATCATTTACCGGAAGGGAGCAGGGGCCCAGGCTGCCAGGAGGCCGTTTTAGGGAAAGGTTAAATGGCGGTACTGTTAGGGAAATGGAGCAGATAAGCCAGACATGGCACTGACAAAGGAGGAACCCCTTTGGACTCAGTGACAGACTGGAAAGAGGGAGGGGAAAAAATTAGTGAAAAAGGAAACCTGCTGGAGAGCCCTTTGCCGAGTCCCATCAGGACAAGCAGTTAAAGTATGGCGGTACAGAGCCATTACTGTACAAGACCACCAGGCTGAATGGACCAGTGGGGTGTAAGATTTAGGGCATCTTCTGCTGGCCATGCTGTGCCCCAGGAAAAAGGGGGAACTCTTTCCAATTCACAGAGACACCATCTTCTGACTCAGGTGTGTTCCCATTGGCACAGACCCCTTTTTCTCATCTGCCCAATGGTGTCGTGAGCCCTCAGCATTTCCTACCTCATTAGTAGCTTTGCCAATCATAACCAACACTGTATCTTATTGATCTGGGTTTGTGTTCCTGTCCAACCTTTATCCCGGAAGACCTGAGAGAGCTGGCTATTCAAGTTCTGAACTGGCTGTTTTAACATAAATCGGGTAGACAAGTGCTCCAGAGCTGTGAGGAGGGAGATTTGGCTTAACATGACAGTATGAGTAAGGAGTTACCCCGATAGAGCTCCCTGTGACACAATGGGTAGTTGGTAGGGGAGAGTTAGATAAGAAGTAGGACCCGAAGTCTTTAAAAGTCCCTTCCAGCTCTAAAGCTGCGGGAGTTACACTTCTACCAGGACAGTTCTTAAAATAGGCTAAGCAAGAGATGAGATTTCAAGTGCTGATTCTGTGGTGCTGAATGCTAGGAGCAGGCATTCATCTTCACCTCCCTACATACACAGGTGATTTCACAACTCTTGGCAAAAACAGTGCTTGTAAAAATAATGTTTATTGGTTAAAAAAATTACAGTCTTTGAAAAGTACCTTCCCTCCAGGATTTTTCAAATAATTTGCATACTTTTTATTCATCTACATAGCAGAAACACTGAAATGAGAAAACAGAAGACTATATGGCTTTTTATACATTTAACATCATAGCGTAATCAGTTCAACCAGTCTGTCATTCTGGTGGCTCTGAAAAGGAAAGAGGAGCCATTCACTCAGGTTTTCACTTATAGCTTCACTCCAATCACTGAGGAAATTCGGGCTGGGTGCCTGCGGCTCCTTGGCCATCAAATTCCTCAGGGACAGGACAGGAATACAAAGAGGGAGCTTAAAATGTTTTGAATAACTTTCAACATTCTATGGTGATTCTCCCAAAGGCTCAGAGGTAGGAAAATAATGTCTTTATTCCTCTTTCTATAGTAAAGGCTTCAATGGAATCAGCTGGGAATCCACTACCCCAAAGGATTCCTTCCAGCTCTCCCGGCTAACTTCTAGTTGGGTGTGCCCCGTAGGGTAGACTATAGAGATGGAATCTCTCTTTCAGAGGCTCTTCCATAGAGAGCATTTGTTATTGCCCATGCTGCTCGGTCCTCCTAATGTCTGGCCTGGCTCCAGACTCCCACTCTCTCACTCAATACAAAAAGCTTTACATTCTTTTCTTGCGTTATGTTCACCAAAGACTTCCATGTTTGCCAACTGGCTGGAACTCAAGCTTCAGTGTTTTTTGTGTTGTTGTTTTTTTTTTTCACAGCCCAAGCCCCATGCAAACCCCAGCTTCCTTCTATTTGTAACATTACCCACTTTGGCCCAGGAAACACAAAACCTTAAAATCCAAGGCTTAACTCCCAGTAAGTGAAGGAACACTTAGTTTTGGATGGACATGAGATATGCCTATCAGGCTACCAGACTTTTTTTTTGAGACAGCCAAGAAGGTATCTAGTCAAGTGAGGGTTGAATCTGAAGCAGCCTGCTTCCAGCTAGTCCAACACTGTTGCCACTGCATTAACAGGGCGGGATAGTCCCCTTCGGGACTTATCTAGAGCCTGTGGGAAATGCTCTGAACACTGTCCTTGAAGGCAAAGCACCGGTTCTTGAAAACAGCTGCCAGAGGTCTGGAGGTAAGTCTGGTGAATAAACTGGTTAATACCATCTTAGATTCCAGATGACGGGTGGCAAAATAAGCAACGAGCCTGTGCTAGAAAGCTGCTGAGGGCCATCACCAGAGCAGCATTTCGGGCACACCTAGAGCAATGCAGCCTCAGCCCCCACAGTTCTGTTCTGCAGGACAACCTCTCATTCAAGCACCAGGCTTAGTGCTTTATATAGTCAGACTGCATAAATTAAGAATTCGATCTTTCTTGAGTGGAAAATATTTTATATGCACTTGATATGCAAAGTGCAAGAAAAATTCTACATGCAAAGAGCTCTCATTAATTCTTACCTGAGTGTGTGAGATTACATGACAAACATAGAAAGACAACAGGTACACACTTCCCTTCTCACAAAACAGGAAGGGAGGCTAAAATCTCTGCTTCTGGTCTTGTTTCTAAATTTTATAATAAATCCAGGAAGCAGGCCATCCAGCGGAGAGAAGATGGACCCCAAAGTATTTCCAGACTGGGAAGTCTAAGAGTTCCAGTGAAATCCTATGTCCAAGTCGGATCAGTTGAAGAGTTGGAAGACTAAAATGACTGGTCCCCTGAGCGGCAGGGAAACTGGGATGATGGCACAGCCACCTTGACCCAGGCTCTGGAGGGTAGGTAGTTAACATTATGTTAAAAGGCACTTTGACTCCAGCTGAATATATAGAGGGCAAACTTTCCCCTTTAAGAGTAGAACTGAGCCCAGGACCGGCAAGTTTAAGGCCTTTAACCTTGGGCGAGCTCTGTGGGTCAGGAGCACTCTGGTTCCTTCACAGCCAGGCCCTTCTAACGAATCCACCCGGACGTTCCTGGCAGGGTCAGCTCTGGCCACCTGCACCTTAGCACTTTAAGAGTGCCCTCAGGTGCCCTTTAAGAGGAACGTTGCTGCGATGGACCAGCCAGACTGACCGCGAGGCCCTGATGTGGAGAAACCCCTGGGGCAGGTGGACTTTGGTTTCAAGAAGCCTCAGTGCTCATGGGTTCACATCAACCCTAAATTTCAATTGACTAAAAAGGTCCCAATGTACTGGAAAACCGAAGAGGCTTGGAACTGCAGCGTGGGTTTCTCAGATCTTTAGCCTAACCCTGCATTAGGAAAAATGTTCACTTAAGTGGAAGCACTGATACTCCTGGGATTTTTATTATAAGGATCTGTTGGGAGATTATATACTCTTAGGGAGGCAGGAAAGGAGAAAGAATGGGCAGGGGAAGAGCAGATGAGAGGTTCATTTCCTCTGAGACATTGTTTGGGCCTCCCCCTGTCTCCCCACCCCCAACCCTTTTGCAACTAGGGTTCTAAATAGGCAATTATTGCTGTTGAATTGCTCTTTGTATCTATGTTCCAGACTGTTAAACCACATTTGGAGAGGCAGTTTTAAGCATGTTTTGATAATTCCCCTTAGGGATGAGGTTGAAAGCTAGAACTCTAGCTTAGTCCTAACCAAGGCAGGTTTTGCTGCAAGAAATCCTTGCAATTTAGTTTTGGCATCACCTTCTTACGTCTCCTTATCTAGATAGTGTAGAGCAGTGGGGCATGACAGAAACCTGAGAAAGCCATGGCAGGGGAGGGAGACATGCTTGGGAGTTGGCCTCAAAAATGACCATCTCTCACTGTGTTGGTATCGGGATTACTGGGCGAGTGTGTCAGAAAGGTAGCAGCCCCCTCACCCTGCCACGACCCCAAACCTCCAAAGTCCTGAGCAGCTGGAGGTGCAGTCACATTGGGCGGTGGGGAGTGGGACGGAACTGATGGACTTGGAGACAAAAAGATGAAGGAAAGGAAAGAACAAAGAAACAGCTGGAAAAAAAAAGACCTAAGAAAACATGAACATGAGCAGAAGCACAGTGGGAAGGAACCCTAAAGTAACGCGGCTCACGGAGCTGGGTGGAGCAGCAGTGACCAGCTATCCCAGGGCATATGAACTCGGTGAGACAGCAGCATGTTGGCATAAGGCTCATAAACCTTGGCTCTCCCGGCGTCTCTGCTTCTAGAACACCAAGCTAGCCAAACAAAATTCTCAAAAATTTTCAATCAGGCCGGTCAATGGGCCAACATACAAGGAAGGTGGTCAGGCATTGTCCCTGCAGCACCCTTTTCTAGCAGCTCTGGGGTGTGTTTGTGTGTCAAGATCAGCCAGACTGGTCCTGGCACCCCCAAACGAGGGAGCTCCCTGGGCAGCGACCCCAGCCTGGAGGGAATGCTTTCGGCCCCGTCAGTCTCGGCTCTGGCGCTTTGCAATCTCCTCCTTGATGCGCAACTTGAGGGCCTCTTGCATGGGTGGATCCAGAGGCGTGTGTGCCGACACCTCCTCGCTCACCCTTCCTGGATCATCGTCCTACGTGGAGGAAGAGTCAGGAAGCTCAGGGTCTGGCCCCTTCCGGAAAGGCCACCTGCCCTGTCCCTAGACTGCGCTCTCAAAGAACTCCACTTGACTCACACGTGCCAGGCCTGCCATTTCCCAGGTATCCCCTGTGACTGTGACTCTCCACGGAGGGCCATGAGCCCGCCCTGTGGCCCGCTGAGGATCACTGTGTGGCGGGAGCTGTGCTCAAAAGCATTGCCCGGTAGCTTGTGCCCCCGTGTGGCGCAGACACTCCCTTCTGACCCTGATGGAAACAGTGGCTCGGGGGCTGGCAGTGGTTTCTACCAGTTCCTGGGCACCGCCAGGCTGCAGCCGTCTCTGCCAGGCGTACCTGATACACGATAACAGATGTGACCTCGCCGCTGTCCGCCTCATATTCTAGGCAGAAGAGCTGACGGCCAGAAGGCTCTGGCTCGGAGCCGCCGCTACTGCTGCTTTCCCGGGACTCTTCACAGTCTGGGTTGCTTGGGTGGGCAGAGCCATCTGGAAGGATGAACCAGAGTGAGAGGGAAGAGGGGAAGGCCGCTGGGGCCCTGACCACAGAGAGAAAAGCCCCCGTCTTTCCGCAAGCGTGCTTGTATGTGAAATGCATGCGTGCATGTGACATGCGTGCCCAGCCGTTTCATGGACCTCTGCATTCCTGGCCTGGGGCGAGCACCGTCCTGCAGGCCGCATGCGTTTGTGTAGTGAATAGGGTTGGGAGGTATAGGAGACGCGGACAGAGCTCGGCCTGGGCTCTGTCATTTACAGCTTTGAGCTTCTGGGCCTCTCTGGGCCTGCTTTTCTGACTGTGAAACAGAAATAAGCGCGCCTACCTTGTGGGGTCCTGGGATAACTATGTGGCCATGTACAGAGGACCTACCAACGCTTTAATGCTCAACAAATCTGGCGCCGTATGTGGGCTATGGCGATGCTGCCTAGGTCTCAGGGAATCTGGGGAAGTGCCTTTGGCTGGGTTTGGGCTTCAGGCCACCATTCTGTCCCGGTGGCCCGCGGCTGGCTGAGCCTTTCCCCTGTGATGTGAGGCAATGGGGATGCGGGCAGACAGTGCGGTGGGCACACTGGCCGACAGTTTCCTGCTGGCGCCCCGCTAGGCCCCGCAACACCGATGCGTAAGGGGGCCGTCCACCCTCTCTGTTCTCCAGGAAGCAGCACTGAGTGGAGTCTGGGGAGCGTCGAGGCGGAGGTTCCGGGAGGGGCCGCGATGAGCCGAGCCTTGGGAAAGGGGTGGTGTGTGTTTTTCCAGAGAGAAGGGGGCGCGTCGAGGCAGAGGGCCCGGAGTCGAGGAGC